CCGGTGGAAATTGGGTTTCTCGATGGGTCAAACGCAACGAAAAACACCTCAAATCAGCATACCTCAACCCCATCGACAAAGCAAGGAAAAGGGCTGATTCGGCGCTGTATTACAGCATGTATTTTGAGATGCTAGGAAGAAAGCTAACAGAGTATGGTGTTCTACCTCAGAACACCTACAACATGGATGAGAAAGGATTTCTCATTGGATATCTTCAAAAAATGAAGAGGGTGTTCAGCAGGAAAGCGTACAATTCAGGACGGCTCTCCCATGTCATGCAGGATAGCAATAGAGAGTGGATTACAGTAATAGCAGCCATCTGTGGCGACGGAACAGTGCTCTCTCCTGCCCTTATCTATTAAGCTGTTTCTAAAGATGTACAAGATACATGGCTCCAGGATTTCAACCCGGACGAACACTCCTGCTTCTTCACATCCTCACCAACAGGATGGACCAATAACAGCCTCGGCTACGCTTAGTTAACTACTGTATTCGACCGAGAGACAAAGGCAAAGGCACGCAATGGAAGAGACTGGCGTCTATTAATTATTGATGGCCACGGCTCTTATGTTAATATGAAGTTTATTAAGTATTGTAATACTTACAGGATTCTTCTCTGCGTCTATCCTCCTCACTCAACTCACCGGCTACAGCTATTGGACGTCTCTCTCTTTGCACCGCTCGCTCGTTACTATTCTGATAAATTGGACGCCTACCTTTATAAAAGTGAGGGCCTATTACGCTTCACAAAGAGAGACTTCTTCAGGACCTTCTGGATTGCCAATGTAAAGGCCATGACGCCTGACAATATAGCTAGTGGGTGGAGAAAGACTGGCATTATTCCATGGGATCCTAATATTATTTTGAACCTCTTCAACACTAAGCAGGAACCGGTGCTAGAGGATGCTGAGCGCCCAACTTCTAGCCGGTCTGACGGTGCAGAACTAGGCCCTGGCGATTGGAAGAGCATTAAGAAACGCCTCCGGAAAATGGTGATTAATCTTATTGATTTAAAAGTGGATAATGTTGAAAGAGAGGTGCGTGCGCTTGCTCGAGGAGTTACCGAGCTTGCAGCAACTAATGTCTTGTTAGAAAGCCGTATTAGAGGTTATCAAGAAACTATAAAGAATGAGCAGAAGAAGAGGAAGCGGCAGGTACCTCTCTTTGCACAATTGGGGGCTCAAGAAGGTGGTGGTGCTATGTTTTGGTCACCCACTAAGGTGCGCCAAGCAAGAGACCTTCTCCAAGAAAAGGAAGATACAAAGGCACGTGATATAGCTTCCAAGGCAGAGGAGAAGGTACAGAAGCAACTAGCTAAGGAAGAGAAGGAGAGAAATCTGGAGCGGAACCGTAATCAGAGGGCTATCACAAAAAAGCAAAAGAACGATGCAGAGGTTCTTAAAGGGCAACAGATGGAGGAGGCACGTGAGGCACGTGAGGTGGAGCAACAGCTCAAAGCGGGGATGCAGGCAATGCAGCAGAGGCAGAAGGTTAAGAAGGTTGTATTCACTATTCCTGAGGAGCCTACTGTTGAGCAGAATTGTGGT